ATAGAATGAGGGTGGGGGTGGAACTTGGTGGATGTTACACTGTCAGAAAAAAAGTACCAATTTGTACCTTTGAGGGTACAATTACTTGTCACTGGGGCTGTACTCTCAAGGGTCTGCCAACTGTACCCTAGGCAAAGGTAAATGTACCTTTAAATGTACAGAAATGGACTGTGAGGAACATTTTTGCACGATTGGGGGTACATTAATGCTGTTTGCATCTTGGGGAACAAAATTGTACCATGGCTGTGCCCTTTTATCTGGCAGTGTGTGCCTTTTGGTAACATGTAAATCCTGTAATGCAATGAACCCACTAGCCCTGGAGGACTGGGAAGGACTGAGACATATTCTCACAGTAATAATGCGGTCTATGTCCGTGAAATGTTCCAGGTCTCATATGAGTCCATATGAGGGGAGGAGAAAGATGAAAGCTGAGCTTGGGGAATGATTCCTCTTGGGTGCGTTAACATCCGCTCATGGCCAGCCTGAACAATTCATCACATGGCTTGGATTGGGGATCATTTCCTCCTTTGTTTGAGGGTGTTTGAGGGGGGGGGGGGGGCACTGGACTTCCTGAGGAATGGGAGTAAGGGACAGACCATCTTCAGCCAACAAAGAGTCGCCCACACAGTAGGAGATCAGCCGTCCGGTACCTGTTCCATGAGGTGGAGCTAGAGGAGATGAGGAGATGTGTAACTTTGAGGTCCTGCTTGGGGGGGGGGGTGCTCGGTTCTGGATCCTTCTATGGTCTGATACTGCTTTGAGTATGCATATGAGAATAATAATAATAATAATAATAATAACACTTTCTTGATCCCCATGGGGAAATTCTCTTTTCACCTATACAGCCGTGTGTGTGTGTGTGTGTTGCGGGGGGGGGTTAGCATCCCCCTCGCTAAATTCTGCCAGCCCGCAAACTGGAAAGATGCCCGGCGCCCGCGGGCTGGTCCGGCTCTGCCCAGGGTCTCTTTATGGAGGCTGCTCATATCCTTTATTTGTTCTGCAAATATCAATAACCCCCCCCCCTTGTTTTCTTCTGCTGCATCACAGCCACCTTAAGTCTATCCTCTGTTTTGGAAAGTTCCAAAGCACAAAGTCTCTCTGAACGTTAACTCTTCCCGCACGTCAGAGTCACTCTCTGAGTCGAGTTGCTCAGAAGTGTCACGCGAGGAAAAAGTGAATTCCTTACAAATGGAGAAACTTGACTCTGACTCCTGTTTAGTTATATATAGCTAAATGAGGATAAATTATAACCAGTACAGGGCAAAGCCCGTGTGCCCCCTAGGGGAAGCTTCACCGCCAGCCCCCCCTATCTTAGAAGTAAAATTGGCTTTGTTGAACCCCCCAAGAGGATGGCTCCCAAAGCGATCACCTTTGGGGTTGACTGGTACTGATTATAACTTAGTTATCTTTACTTTTTTCAGATAGTCATCGTTATCATAATGTAAATAGACGTATTACGACATTAAGCCCAGTATAGTAGTTTACTTCAGTCAGCTAATTATAACGTTATACACAGAACTGCCCTTCATATGTAGTTTCGAGTTGATGTACCAAGCGAATCCACTCGTAATGTTTATTACCGCTAGGTGGCGGAGTTTTCTCTTTTGGACCTTATGTTGGTGAAAATTCAATCGACCAAACGAAGTTGTTTAATATCAGTTAATTTATAATACAAGGTTACATATAATCCAGTGATTGCCACGATGTGTGGTATCAGAGAGAGAATCTGAAACGTAAAAAACGCTAAAAAGCCTAATAAGCCGAATTTTCGTGGATGACACACTGTTTAAACAATTCAAAAGAACAGAAAGTTCTGGGGGTCGGCTGAGGTCTTGTTGAGATCGTGCCTGAATTTGAAGCTGTTTTGGTAACTGTACTCTGACCACATGTACTTATGTCTTTCCCGAATTGCCAATAGGGGAGGCCGGCCCTTACATGGTCCTACGATATAGGCCTGAATTTTGCTGATAACTGTGCCTAGTGATGCATTTCCCCGACGGGGGGGGGATCCCGCGATAAATTTTGACGGCGCCCCCCGAAAAAATACCTGCTATGCCAAATGACCAGTCCAGCCCGACACCCACCGTTTTTTTCCACTCCTCGTCGATCTTGTACTGGGTATGCTTGATGGATGGACGGTGGTATGCTAGGTATAGTAGGATGGATGCATTTATTTTGTCTTGCTACCTTAAAGAAAAAAATACAAAAATGGTTCTTAACATCCATAATATATATTTAAGATGTTAATGATTAAAGTAAAGCGCTATAAAAAGTTTGTGGACTGTCGTCAGCATTCCTTGAATGTGCACGATTAAAGTACTTTTGGACCAGCTAATGTTCCGTAAAATAACACTTTTTTATTAAACATATTAAACTGATAGACCTAATTGCTAGATTATAATAAAATTTTACCAAATAGTAATAGCTCTTGTATAATGAGCGGTATCGCGTTGGAGATGCAGTACGTAACTAACGTATATTAACCAGTTTCCGAGTCAGCTGCTGCATCCTGTTTCATGGGGATTATTATTCAGCGCCATTTGCGGGGTCTCACACCCGCTGCGACGTGCCAGAATCAGACATCCGTATGATAGATTGTCGCCTTCGACAGCGACATATGGATATATTTTTATAAATCTAGCAATAAGCTCAGTCATAATTTAATACGATCAGTTGTGCCATCACGGAAAATGTATGACGTTGTTACATCTACTTATAAACTGATTTTAAACCCAAGTTTTACGTAAGTCACTATTACGCACAAATCCGCTCGCGGGATAGGCCTATATGAATTATGTAGTCAACTTGATGTTAAATTGTGAAAATTTAAGACCAAGGTTCTGACATTTTGTAGAACCATTACCCAAGTTAATGAAAAATACATAATTATACGTCTCCGTGTTTTCCGTTGCTGCCAAACTATACGTCACAATAGCTCATCAATACATTTTTATTGCCCATTTTCATTAGCGAAAACGTATCTTTCGATAACGTGCAGCTGTACTCGTCTGTAATGCGTCTGTGGATGTTTCCAATCAGGGACTGCACATGTTAAATTTGGGTAAATCATCTGCTGCTTTTCCAGCATGGGAGGCCACCCACGCGACCCTCGCAGCACGCGCGGCCCACGGGCATCAGCATGATAGCTTGCAGGAAATTTGGGGATTCCCTAAAAATAATTTTGACTTAAACGACCATGCGCTGTGCACAGTGAAAACGGCATTCTCTACCCGCCTATCTGTTTTACCTCTTGGTACCCCGAAAATCCCAAATCCTGCTTTTCCTGTAGTATGACAAGAAAAACATTCTGCACCCTGACGTTTGAGGTAATTTTCTCCGAATTCACGAGCTAACCAAATATCCGGGATAACTGAGTCTTTTGATGTAAAAATAGATGCTATAAAATGCATTTTCCGTAGCATTTGACTGATCTGCACCTATAGAATCTGTTCTGTTCTGCAGTGATTTAACGTGCCTGATGGTTAATGTATCTTGCTTCGTATCTATATAATTCAAAGTTATTTGGGTCAATGCTTTCTAGCGTTTATTGTTTAGGTTTTCTGGAAAACTATATTGTTTTCCACAAAGAGATCGCAATCATTTTAGTATTTCAATTGAATGTAATTGTTAAGTTGTCTTGCTTATTCGGCTGCCAGTTACATACATTTCAAATTATTTTATTTAAATAATATAACTAAATGTATTGCTCGTTTCTTTTAAAATATTTTATATCCCCCTTAATTTATTGTATGTCTAATAAGAAATGTTTATTGTATTTCAAGTTTCAATGCAATTGTCAGTTCATTCTTACATTTGGATCAGCTTTAGCTGCTGTCGATTTAAACGACACAGAAACAAGACCGAAGATGTTTATTTTGGCATCGATTTATATGTGTTTAAAGTACCCCAGCAGTAGGGTTCCAGACTGCAAGCAAAAGACAACAATCACCAATAGCCATAGTTGCTCATCTGTATATGAGGCTAATGCGTCATTAATTACTCTGAGAAGTTATTGTTAATTTTCATTACCCATAATACAGTTTGCGAGATGTGGGATTTTGGCTGAAGAATAATCAAAAAGTAACACGTGAATGTTCTAAAATAGAGAAACCAGGATGTGTGTCTGTATAGACCTATGAATACAGTAGGTATGTAGGGATTAAATATGTGGAAGGGATTAATGGTTCTGTAATTTGAACCAAAACATACAGAATTTGTGTCATAATATCATCACACAATTAAAAAAAAACTAAAATTGTTTCGGCCCAAAAGAATATAGCTGTGTAGCCTGGCTGTGTTGATATTTTAATTAACGTCGAAACATAGTATAGTTTTGGGTAAAGTAAATACCTTATTACCTACGCCTACGTATGTAACACTTTGATCTTAATAAGTATAATTACATTCACTTGGTCTAAGGTTGATAAAGCATATAATTTAAACATTTATGCTGCAGAACTAGTTGTTTTTATCCAAACCATCTTTAACTGATTTGGACAGCTGCATATTTTACCGTGACAAGTTGTAAGTTGTAAGGACGTGTAACTATATGGTGTGAGTCGAACACGGATTTATAATCAAAATGTCTTCCAACAGTGTGTCGGGAAAATGTCAAAATATACCCGAATACGATAGAGTGCTCCCTTGTGAAACGGTGGATGTAGGTTGCTGGTCTTAAGCGGGGTGTGCTTTTGAAGGGGGCTGCTTGCCTTCCAGATGACTATTCGGCTTCCTGCTGACTATTCGGGCACAGCGTGTGGGCGTGACTTTCACCCCGATACTGTGCGACTCAATAGCCAACAAACTGCTCACTTATTGTATATAAATGCAGTAATGTTTCTTCAATTACACATTGAAAATGCGATTGCCAATTTCTATAGTTTTAAACCCATTTTTAAAACATTTTAGAGATTCACGGGACCATATTTATGAAGTGCTTGTCTAAGTTACTTTGCTTTCCTATTGTAGTTTGTACGTGAAAAGGAGTAACATCCTTCTGCACTGCGTGAAATTAATTGGATAATATATTCTCTCTGTGAACTGTACTGTGACATCACGGTCACCTGATCGCATTACAGTTACAGTTGCAAGACAGAAACCGTATTTTTTCCAAGTAGCTGTCCTAGAAGGCGCACTGGTAGACGTATGTCGTGTTTTCTTTTCGCGTGCATTTTTCCTTTTAGGTCTTGTTAAAAACTGGGTTCCCTTCAAGTTTTTGTAAAGTAAAGCTTTTTCTTAACGACGGTGTTTTGGGTGCAGATGAGAAAGTACATTTTTCGTTCTTGGTTTTTGTGAATGGAGATTACAGCTGCTCGCGCTTGAGTGTAAGATTTTTTTCTGCTCCGTATCGCTTCCATCAACCTTTTATTTAAGTACTGTTGAACCACCGTGGATCACTATGACTTGGGACGGGGAATGCATGGAGGATATCCCGATTGACGTGATTTGTGACAAAAGTAGGAACTCCAGAAAACTTCTGTCTTCCACAGAGTCAGGGGTGGGACCTGAGCCTGAACTGGGCCAAGATGGCCCACTGTCCTCAGATATAAATTCCCAGGAGACAAACCAAGATAGGGGCATGTCTGCGTATCTGGAAAAAGCGAGCAAAGGTACATCTTCATCGAAGCCGCCCTATTCATACATCGCCTTAATCACCATGGCCATCCTGCAGAGCCCGAAGAAGCGCCTGACGCTCAGCGAGATCTGCGACTTCATCAGTCACCGATTCGCTTACTATCGGCAGAAGTTCCCGGCTTGGCAGAACTCCATCCGACACAACTTATCGCTGAACGACTGCTTCATCAAAATCCCCCGGGAGCCGGGCAATCCGGGGAAAGGTAACTACTGGACGCTGGACCCCAATTCCGCTGACATGTTCGAAAACGGCAGCTTTTTGCGGCGCCGGAAGCGTTTTAAGCGACAGCATATTAAAACGAGTACAATGAAAGATGTGGAAATGAACAGAATGTCGACTTTTTCTTACGGCTCCTACGGTTTAGGGGCGGCGTGCTTACCGCTGCCAAATCTGGAGCTTTACGGTTTAGGGAACCCGTATTATCCCAATTCCCCATGCGCCGTACCACCTGTTGGCAGCATCCTGCCGGCTCTCTCCACGCTCTTTACCAGGACCTCCTTCCTCGCCAAGGCTCTTTTCCCTTCCCATTCCCTCGTCTTTGAATCCCCCACCGCTAGCAACTGCGAAACCGTCTCTTCGGCCGCAGATCTGAACCCCAGGTTTGTCTGCGGCGCCGCCATCCTTCCATCCGCGTCTCCTCATCTCTTCGGTTTGCAGCAGGAGTATCAGAAACTGCAGACGCTGCCGCCTGGACAGTGAACTGTGATCCAGGCCCGGACCCAGCAGCGCTTGGGCTTCTCACGCAAAATATTCGGGTTGTGTCTCAGGTAACAGACTGTTCCGGATTTAAAATGAGAAAGTGTATTTTGTCGGCGATTTCCTAAATGCTTACCGTATGGTAGGCTATGTAGTTTATGATAATTTTTATAGTATACGTTTTAATATATTACAAATGCTTGCAGGAATATATTTCTTACATGTTTTTTAACCGGACTAAAATTTTACTTTTTTTAAGCTAGTTTAACGGAATATTTAAATGACGAATTTCTTTGGGGCGTTGGAAAGAAATAAACTTTTCAAGATGCATAAATTAGCAGGTATTTTGTTCGTTAAAATAGTAGTTGTGTAATTTCATTCTAAACCTAAATTATTCTTGTATTCATCGTACATAATTTCGTATTAATTTGTTGACTTGGATCTAAACGCTAACTTTGGATTTCTTTTTTGTGTTTTTTTGTCTTTATCTGCCATAGAAAAGCAAAAAAAAAATCAGGATTTTGTATTTGAGATTTTTTATTTCTATTTCACTTAAGGATTTAATTTCTTATTCAAATAAGCCTAAATGTAATATTGCCTTTCGTAATAAATCCTTGCTATTTCATTTGTATCTTTGATTTTGAATGCACCCCGCATTAGCCTAGCCTACATTACAGCGAGCGTATAAGACACGTTATAACGCACGAGGGCAAAATATAGGCCGCTTCTCAGATCTCTTGCATGCTTCGTTTTAAAATGACTCCTCTTTACTAACACGCAAACCGTCCATATTTGTGATAACTAATTATACTTAATCAGAGGTTTGAGATGCTTAATTCTCTAAATAAGATCTCGGTATCATGATAAACTATAATTTTGTATTACATTAACGGGAACGGAGCTTTGTTAAATGGCTAATTAATTAGGGCGTGATTTCTCCTCGTATACAAATGGAAGTGAATATTCGAAATTTAAGTGGTGTCTGCTGTCTTTATGCTGATGTAGGTTATACGTGTAAATGTTGTAATATTTAAATTGCGCGACGTATTTCCCATGTAACCTAATATTTTACTAAGACAATCAAGGTCAACTATTGAAATATATTGCTTACCCGTTTTACAAATTCAATTACTCTGGATTCTTGTTTATAAGTATAAAGTGTAATATTAATATTGTTACAGTGGGAAGATGGATTCTTGCATAATAACAATAACGTTTTGCTATGATACCGGCATCCCGTCCTGGGTTTGCCCCGCCTCCTGCCCTGTCCTGCCTTTGATTGGCTCCTGGTTCCCGCCACCATGTCCAGGTTAGGTTCAGGTTCAGGTTCAAGTTACTTAACTTGTAACTCTTGGTAAATTTGGTGTATAGGAGATGAATCAGCATCCACATAGCCAGCAAACAAACATGCACACCCACCCAAACAAACAAATAAAAAGATGACGTAAGAAGTATTATCATTTAATCACAGGTATCAAATAATACTTGATAAAAAAAAATAACAGGAGGTAAGCACCATCCCTCTATCCCTTGGCCAGTTATAATGTCCTGTTCAGCTGAATGGCTGCTTCTGGAACAAAGCTACTTTTGTATTTCTTAGTTCTGCACTTTGCATCTATAAACCTTCATCCTGAGGGAAGGAACTGGAACTCAATGTGTAAAGGATGGAAAACTGAGCAGTTTATCCGCTGTACCTGTCTAGTATACAGGGATGGAATGTAAAGTTGTTGCTCACCAGTTACTCTGCTTGACCATTTAATAATTTGAATCACTGAGTTTTTGTTTTTTGAGGACAGGTTTTCAAACCATGACGCCAAAGAAAGAGATAAAACCAGTTCTCTAAAAGCACAATGAAATAAGGTCATCATGGTTTTGTCGATGTGTAAGTCAGACAGTTTCCTCAGACGAACGTTGGTGTCCCTGCTAACACGTGGCCTCACAGATTTCTTCCAAACTCAACTTTGAGTGTATAGTTGTCCTTGGGCATTTATAAGCTTCTGCCAGACCTTTGACAGATGTAACTTCTAAGCCGTCTTCTAAGATCAACTATCATATGTTGTACACGGGGTGATGAGTGAATTATGTCACGATTAAATTCACAGTCAGGTCATTTCTGATATTTCATTTTCTCTCTGTGTACCATACTTCGCCATTTTATATGCTTTTTGATGACTGTTTCAGGACCACAGTAAAAGATTTTGATTCTAAAAGAGAATTGGGGATTGTCCAGGAACAGCACTGAGATGTATGAAAGGGGAGGCTATGCCGTTACTTGGGGGGGGTCTGATTTTAATGAAAATAAATGAGAAACCACTATTTAAACTAACTAATTAGTGGACGTTTATTTGGATGGACTAAAGAACAGAAGGACAAAATATTAATATATTGTCTGTAGCAGTTTCCCTTATGGTGCCAAATTCACCTCATAGGGTGAGGGGGGGGGGGCATTATTTGGCATTAGACAAGGAAGCCCTTTTTGTTGCCAAAACCTTGTTTGGGTGTAAGAGGTGCATCCTGAGATATCCTACTCTTACCATGTGTGTCACGGATTTACAGATGTGCCTTTGCTACTGTATCGCGAAATCCTATTAAATCCATTACGTGAAATCCGAGCTGAGAGTGACAGTGTTACTGTAAGATCTGCCGTATGAACAAATTTCCGAGTGCTGCACTGAATCATTACTGTACGGGATGAAAAATTTTGAAATCGTTCCGCTCCATGGAGCCGGATCACAGAGCTCTTGTCCCACTTTGAAGGCCGGTCTCTGCGCTGAGCCCTTTGCCAGTTTCGCCGTTCCAGGCAGGCCCCTCCCCTTTTGGGGGGGGTTTCCTCCACCATAAATCTTCTCGCTGCTCTTTAGCCTCTGACTCACACATCACCCCCAGGGTCCAGTCAAACACACCGTGTCAGAGCAGCGTTTTGTAAGTCACCGCCAAGGACTCGCTCGGGCTGGAGGTGGGAGGGGCACTGTGCGGGACCCCCCCGGAGCCGGCAGGCAGGCTGGGGTGGGGGTAATAAGGACGAAGAAGGTGGGAAATGAAAGATTGTGATGGATAGAGACTGTTAGAGGAGCCGAGAGAGAGGCGATTAGGGAAAGACGGGGAATCAGTATGTCTGAGACGTCATGAAAGGACGCCAGGAAATAGATGTTTGAACAGAAACTCCTCGTGGGAGAAGCGGGAAGATGGTAGAGGATGAGATATGGGGGTGTGTGTGGATCCACCGAATCCCCCAGGCATTCGCCTGAACCCTCGGTTGCTCCTCTCGCCGCCACACTGTCGGTCGTTAATTCTGCCTCATCTTCCTCTTCTGGTCTCAAAATGTGAAACCAGTACAGACAGACACTGAGGCATGATGCTGAGTGAGGATTTATGCTTTTTGGGTGTGGGGGGTGATTTGGGTTGGGGTTGGGATCTCCCCAGTTCAGAAGCTCAGAGTGCAGAGATCGTGCTGTAAAGCCTCATTCCGCCTGGACATCCTCACTACAGGCTCCTGTTTGCTTGCGTGATGGTTGGAACCCATCAGATACTGGCAGGTTGAGACAATGTGTGGCTCAGCAGGTTAGGTTATACTCAGAAGGTTGCTGGTTCAAATCCCGTGGTCAGCAGAGTGATGTCGCTGTTGAGCCCTTGAGCGAGACCCTTAACCCCCAAGTGCTCCAGCCACTGGGTGACCCTGATCTCTCAGTTGTGTCTCATTTTTGATAAAAATTATCAGTTGGGGGAGGGAGTGTGTGATGAGATAGCAGTGACCACCCCGCTGGACCCATGACCAAACGAGGGGGGGGGGGTCTGAACTGGCTCATGGACCCACAGCAGCCTCTGTGAATGTGCAGCTGTGTAAATGGTGACTGAACTCCGCAGCGTGGTGGCCCCTTGCAGCCTGAAGGGGGCGCCGTACTCTGGCCCGGCCTTCACCCTTCCGAAGGTCCGATACCGATCTACCCTTTGGCCCGAATTCTTGATGAGCAAGCTTACTCTCCTCATCTCCCTTGGTGGTCTTTGGTAGAAATAATGCTTCCCTCTTGTTTTTTCCTTTAATTTTTAATAGCAAATCTTGTTCCCTAATTCTTTGCTACCAAGGGGGTGATTTGTGGCTTTTGGCTGGATGTTGCAGGCTCCAGATTTAAAATTAAAAAAAAAAAAATCTGCTTTTATTGAAGTGTGCTTTTCTGTACAACTTAACTCTACGGTCAAGGTTAGGAATAAAATTTATCACTCTTTAATGTATCGAAATGAGGTCAGTTTTATTTTTTCCCTGTATTCAGTGTCTGAAATACAGAGATTTGCACGGACGGAAAGTTATACTCTGCTAAAAGGATCCCATCCATTTTGAAATAAGTTGAACGAAACATCGGAGGTGTTGACATGGATGTCTGCTGTTTGCTTTGTGATAGTGCTAAGATGCACTGGAAGGTGTGCATTTCACTTTTATTAGAAAACCCACCACCTTCCCTGTTGGTGTGACTCACTAATCCCTCCTGTCTGTTTCTCCGCTTTCCACAGCACTACATCATTAGTCAAGTGTTTAAGCACTTAAATACAGTATTTCAAGGATGGGTGGGGGGGGG